CGGCAGTGGCGCCGTGCTGTCCCCAGGTCGCCCCGGCGCCCTGGAGAAGGGCAACCCAGGCCGCGAGGCAGGAACTGAACCTGTTGACACGTCTAGCCACGCCAAACGGCCTCTCGCAGACTGACGTACTGGGCCCACCTCAGAGCTGGCCTCCACCTCCACCTCCGACTCCGCCGACGCTGCCTCCTTCTCCGCGGGCCCCTAGGGGTCTCTAGTGACCTCTGGACATCCTCAGAAAGGCCTCCGCTCCGCAAATCCCCGGAGGCCTCCAGAGGATCCCCGAGGCTTCCGAAAGGGCAACCGGATGGGGGTCGGGGGCGGCGCCAGTGTGGAAATGGCAATGTCGGGATCCCAGCGGGCGCCCAACTACCCAAGCAAAGCTTTTTTACGCAAAAAACAACCCTCGGTGTTCCTCCTATTCCTCCTCCTCCTCCTCCTCCTCCTCCTCTTCCTCCTCCTCCTCCTCTTCCTCCTCCTTCTCTTCCTCCTCCTCTTCCTCCTCTTCCTTCTCCTCCTCCTCCTCCTCAACCTCCACCTCCTCCTCCTCCTCCTCCTCCTCCTCCTCCTCCTCCTGCTCCTCCTCCTCCTCTTATCATTATTTTTAATGTCATTATTAGTACCAATAGTGCTACTATTGTTATTGTGGTATTGTTGTGATTCGTCTTCTTGTTCAGATTCGAAGTAAAAGTACGAATGTTAGTACTAGAATCACGATGCGGAATAGCATGTCTGTTGATATACATAAAGGTACGAGTTGTTATATTAGTGGAACTCTTCTAATTAGTAATATGAATATCATCAGCAATATTAATTATATGTTTAATGATGATAGTAGGAGTACGAGTACTGCTAGCATGCGCATTCGTATCAATATTAGTAATAGCATTAATACGAGTATTATCACCAATACGATAAGTACGAGGAATAGCACTCCGATCATTATTCTTAGTAGTACTATTGGTGGTATGAGTAGTGTGTAGTATTCCTCGTGAGAGTAAGTGAGTTCGTGTTACTATGTTGTGTCATTGATATCAGTGTTGTAATAGTACTGTTATATGTTTAACCTAGTGGTATGAGTATTAGTACTGATAGCATTCGTCTTCTTAGTATTAGTAGTTGTTGTCTTAGTCGTCGTATCAGTATTGGTGATATCAGTTCTACTACTCCTCCTCCTCCTCTTCCTCCTCCTCCTCCTCCTCCTCCTCATCCTCATCCTCCTCCTCTGCCTTCTCCTCCTCCTCCTCCTCCTCCTCCTCCGCCTCCTCCTCCTCCTCATCATCATCCTCATCCTCCTCCTCTTCCCACTCCCCCCACCCACCCACCCTTCTCTTCCTCCTCTTCCTCCTCCTGTTCCTTCCTCCTACATCCTGTCCCATCCATCCTCCATCTTCCTTATTCCTTCTCTCCTGCCTCATACGTCCTCATATTCCTATGTTCGACTCCTTCTCCTCCTCCTTATCATCATCATCATCATCATCATCATCATCATCATCATCATCATCATCATCATCATCATCATCATCATCATCATCATCATCATCATCATCAGCATCATCATCATCATCATCATCATCATCATCATCATCATCATCATCATCATCATCATCATCATCATCATCATCCTCATTATCCTCCTCCGCCTCCTCCTCGTCCTCCCCCTTCTCCTCCTTTTCCTCCTCCTCCTCCTCCTGCTCCTCTTTCTCCTACTTGCCTTCCTCCTGCCTGTCCTCCTCCTCCTCCTCCTCCTCCTCCTCCTCCTCCTCCTCTTCCTCCTCCTCATCCTCCTCCTCCTTGTCGTCCTCTTGCTCCTCCTCGTCATCATCATCTTCCTTATCATCATCCTCATCCGCCCTCCTCCTCCCTCCCTCCTCCTCCTCCTCCCTCATCCTCCTCCTTCCTCATCCTCCTCCCCCGCCTCCGCCTCCTCCTCCTCCTTTTCCTCCTCCCCTCCTCCTCCTCCTCCCTCCTCTCCTCCTCCTCCTCCCCCTCCTCCTCCCATCCTCCACCTCCGCCTCCTCCTCCTCCTCAACCCCTCCGCCTCATCCGCCGCCTCCTCCTCCCTCCTCCTCCTCCTCCCTTCTCCTCCTCCTCCTCCTCCTCCTCCTCCTCCTCCTCCTCCTCCTCCTCCTCCCTCCTCCTCTCCTCCTCCGTTCTCATCCTCCTCCTATGCTCCTCCCTCCTCCTCCTCCTCCTCCTCCTCACTCCTCCTCCTCCTCCTCCTCCTCCTCTCCTCCTCCTCCTCCTCCTCCTCCTCCTCCTCCTCCTCCTCCTCCCTCCTCCTCCTCCTCCTCCTCCTCCTCCTACGCAGGGGATGCTGGGGCAATGGGTGGTCCGTAGCACTGCCGCCATGCTGCGCTGGCGTGCTGGCCCGGGCGCCCAGCGGCCCCGCTGGCAGCTGCCTCCCTCTGCGCTTCGGCGCTCGCGTCGCACGACGCCTCGGGCGATTGCCCATGATGGGCAGCATGATGGGGAATTGCCTGTGTGCTTCGTAAGCCTGCACATGTGTCCAGAATCCCGTCAGCAAATACGGCAGCGACGGAGAGTCGGAAGTCCTACGCGCTCTCCCTATGTGCGCCTCTAGTTGTCGAGCAGTAGGGGCCGCATAGCCACGCTGATAACATAGAAGACGTGGGCCAGCGTGAACCGAGGTTTGGCCCAGTGGGGTTTTGTCCGCGATATGTTGTAGCTTTCTTCCAAATGTCAAGGCGGGCCTGGCGCGCGTAGAACGGACGAGCGTGCGACACAGCAAGCGAAAGCCTGTTAAGAAAGCGTTCTGGTTCAGCCCTAACTAATATGAGCCATTCCCTGGGTTCGTTGGGAGCAAGTAAGCACTCGTCTCCAGCACGGAAATGCAAACACTGGAAATCCCCAACCTGAGGAGAAGCCCATCCTTGAGGACCGCCCCAGGTGAGGTCAGCCAAGATTATAACCACAAGGGGTGGGGGGGCCTGGCCACGACGCGCCGGGCAAAGCGTAGCCCATCAACTGTAGCGACGACTAGCGTCGGGAGGCTGGATACCTGTAGGTATGTCTCTTGGCGCGATGCGTGGCCATCAGGGTTATTAGAAATGGGCAGAGCGAGCGCTGTCCTGCACACTGCAATGCGAATCACGCGAACAAGCCTCTCTTGGACCGCCGACAAACGCGCCCAGGTCGTGCGTCCGAGAAGCAAGATCGAAGAGTTGGTGGCCTTCGAAAGCACCGTTGTCGCTCGAAGACTGAGTAATTGCCTCGGGGCAGCTGGCACGCGGATGGGTTGAGAGCTCGTCTAGCTTTAGAACCACGAGCCGCCACTCGGTCCTCCTCCCCTGGCAGAGACAAGGCAAGTTGACGAATCGTGCCACGGAAGGCCTGAACAAGATCGAGGCGGAGTACAATGCAGGAGTGCTTCTTAACTTGGGCCAGTCGGAGGCACAACCGCGCACCCAGCGCCGCCGCGTCGCCGCCGCGCCCTCCCACGCCCCCACAATGGACGTCCAAGAGGGCACCGTTTAAAAAAAACTGGGGGGGCCCGGGAGCGAGCACGGCGACGATGAACCTTGCAAGCGGCGCCGGCAAGAAGGACGGTGCGCTGATTTCTACCCAGGGACGGGGTTCCAGAGCCCTTGAAGAGATAACCCGCATCGCCGAGTTTGAACGCCAACGGCCCCTGGTCGCACGTGCGAATTTTGACCCCCCACGGGCAGAGCAAGGTGGTTAATAGTTTGGGGGGCATTTTGAAGAGATCCGGGGGAAAGCAATCAATCCCTGGGGCCTTGCCGCGCTCGAGGCCCCACATCCTGTTTTCTAGATCGAGGACCGAGGGGGTGCAATTCAACAGCCTCTGCTCCACGGCCTGAAAAAGCTCGGGTAGCTGTCGGCATTCCTGAACCACCTCGGAAGGGGAGCGCCCAGGGCCTAACTCGACTGCACTGAAGTGTTGCTGCATGCGTTGAACCACTTCAGCCTGGGTTTGGAATACTCGATGGAGAGAAAGTTGCCCCTCTGTCGGCGCCTCGCTGCGATCGTCGGTCATATGCGGTGGCACGTCGGAGGACTTGCGGGCCCCCCCCTCCCGCCCTCCACGCTAGTTCATAAGATCGATGTATCTCCACTCTCCCCTAGGGAGCCTTCTGTCAACAGCGACATGAACCCAGACAGCCAGGTTCCCGAGAAAGCCAGCACGATCCCTGTCCAGCTGGGCGGCCATCTCCGCTCTACTGTCAAGCAGAAAGTGGGCGAGCCTCACTGCGAATGCATCAGGGCAGAAAGCCCCCTCCGAGAACATGCGCGCGGCGAGACCTGTCAGAGCCAAGAGCCGTCTATGGGGAGGTGGCCCGAAGTCCGAACGCACCCTTGCAAGGTCGCCGTTGACTACCCTGCCTGCAAAGCGACAGAGTGACGGGCCCCGCTCGTTCGGACAGGTGCCATGCGCAGCGCGAGCGAGGTCTCTCTCGAAAGCTCTTTGAATCCCCTGCCTCCCAGAACGGGCTCCAAGAACGTTCGAGGTGACACAGATTTTCCTGGCGGGTCGAAACTTGCTCCTCCTCCTCCTCCCGCCCAGGCAGCCGTCGCTGGGGCAGCCGGCGAGGCCGCTCGGGGCGCCAGGGCCACCGCCGGCGCTGCCGCGGCCGCAGACGGGGCCCCAATCAAGTTGGTCAGGCGCGCGGACGTGCTCGACGAGCTCGCGCCCAACGCGCGTTGCGGTGCACGGCAGAAGCGCTGACCGTTGCATTGTCACCATCCGCGCCGTCACTGGGGCGGGGGCCGGATCGGTTGGCAAGTGGCTACAAGCACGCGTTCAGGGGCCCGACATCCTGCTCGCCCAGGAGACAGGGTGCATCGACGACGACACGGTCGGATCGGCCCACCAAATGATGCGCTCGGCACGGCGCGCAGCTAGCGTCGGGGCCGACCTAGCGCACAGGGGCCTAGCCGCTCCGCGGTCTCAGGCGGCGTCGCGGCGTGGGCCACGCGATTAGCGCCGATGAGTGCTAGGCGCATCGAGCCGTCGTGCGTAGGGCGCACTTCGGAAAGTTGCCACCAAGCTCCTCGTCTCCCTGTACCAGGACATGTCCATCGGCGTGGATGGCGAGACCATGGACCTGCTGGAGCACGCGGGCAGCCTCATCGGGCAGCTCGGCGAGCGCGTCCTGATCGGAGCGGACTGGAGCGTAAAGCTCGAGGTGCTCTTGGCCCCCAGCTGGGTCGACCAGGCGGGCGCAATGCTCCTCTACTCGGACATGGCCATCTGTGCGCCCTCGGAATACGATTACTTCGTGGTTTCGTGGACCCTCGCGCACAGGGCCCCCACGGCGCGGGTCGAGGGCCCGCGCGGGGCCTTCAGCCCAAAAAAAACCAAAGCGGCGATCTCGAAGCTGCAAATGCCAATGGAGACATAGGATGCCGGGCAGGTCGAGCTCGCAGCTCCGATGGACGACCTGGGGCGGGCTCGCAGCAGCTGGCTCGACCTCGCGGAGCGGCACTTGGTGAATGGGATGGAGGTCGAGTTGGCCAACGTCCGCCACTACCCCGGCTGGGGGAAGGGCGCCAAGATTGCGCGGACGCCGCTCGGCGAGCTCCATTTGGCAAGGCAGCGGAAGCTCAACACATCCAGCGCGGAGGCGCGGGCTGGATTCCTGCGTTGCTGGCGGGCCCTTCGGCGCCAGGGCAAAGCGAACACTGGCTCGCGCGGCCGTCGGCAGGTCCTCCACGACCAGCTGGCGTGGCAGGCCGAGACCCTGGAGCCGCCGCCTGCGGCATCTGGCGCGACGGCACCGCTCAACACCACCAAGGCCCAGTGACTCGGGCTAGCACCAGGGGGGGCCCGCTGGCCAGCCGGTTCGAGGGGCTCCCCGAAGCCGAGGCGGCGCTACATCGTCGCGCGGGCGCTGCCCAGCGCTAGGGGGGCCTGGCCGAATGGCCCACCACATCAAGCAGAGGAGGGGCGAGACGGCAGCTTTTGAGGAGCCGGACGACCCTGGGCACCTGGCCCATTTCCGCTCGGCTGCAGCGGAGGCCACCGACCATCCTGGACGAATAACTCGAGCTCTGGGCCAAGCCCTCCAGAGAGTTGGAGGAGGAGGCAAACCAATGGCAGATTACCACCAGCTTGCCGCCCAGCACCACAGACCAGGCGCGCCCGGCTTTGGCTGGGACAACCTCCGCCCAGGGGCGCTCCTCCGCCTGAATGAAGCGCTCTTGCAGCGGTCCGTGGACATCCTCTGGATGTCGCCCCAGCCAGAGCCGCAGCCGCCGCTTGTCCGACGGCCCATCGGCCTCCCACGCATGCGGGGGCGGGTCCGGTCCCGAGAGCGGCAGGCTGAGGTTCGCCGCCGGGAGACCAGCGTGGACGAGTCCTTCTCCTGGGGCAAGTCAGGGGACACCGCGGCGGATCGGGCGGCTTATATCCACAACCTTCTCGTCGTGCACGCCTGGCGTCACAGCATAGTCAGCGGTTCGTCAACCGTTTTCGACCTGTCTCGCCTTGTATGTCATCGCATCGCATATGGCACCAGCAGTCGGCAGACCATTACGCCTTTGACCTTGGCCTGCCCAAATCGATTTTCGCGCTGTACCAGGGTCCGCGCCGAGTCCGATGGCTGCCCTGCACGACCCGAGCCACCCTGACGAATGGCATAACATAGCGAAAGTGGGATGTTCATGCGCCGCCAGGGTCGCCAAGCTGTCACGCTGTGCAAGCTAGAAAAATTTCATGGAGACGCCATTTTGCCCACCAGTTAACCTCGTCGACGACGGCGAGCGTCGCGCGGCAGGGGGCTTGCGCGCTGTGGCGACCCAACTAGTCAGAGCAGCGAACTGGGTTGTGTCTGCAATGCAGCAGCTTGAGCTGCTTGTCAACACGTCCAAGACATGATTGGCGATTCCGGGCAAAGAGCTGATCGGTCTCCTGCTCGAAGATCCTGAATGGCCGTTTGATGTGTCGATGCTGTCTGAGACTCATCGGTAACTCGAGGGGGCGCGCTCGAGGGGTCTCGTCGCAAGATCCCTATCCATGCTGATCGACTCTGCGGGGCCCACACTGCAGCCAGCAGGCTCTGGAAGTTCGAGGCGCGGCAAAGATACCTTTCGCGTTTTCAAGACGGGCCCCGCGGCCAAAGCTTGTCGGAGGGCCCCCATCCTCGGGGTCAGTAGTTCGGCCATGGCAGGGCAGGGGGTTGCGACAGCCCGCAGATTCGACCCTTTGTAGCCAGGTTCGTCCCGACATTTTTGGCGGCTGTTCAGCAGCGCATGGGCGAGCGATCCGTTTGTGCACCTCGCTGTGGCTGCTGTTTCGACCTGGTGGCATCGCTCGGTCACCCGGCCGGCTTTCGCGCGTGCCCTGGAGGATGCTCGCGCGACCCTCGGAATAGAGGCCCAGGAGCGACGCGAAACAGACAATCTGGTGAACCACCACGGGGTCTCCTGGGCGATCGGCAAGCTCTCGCCTGCCTTCTTTGAACATATGTGCCAGCAGGCGTGCCGGGATGCGATCGTGGCCAACGAACGCAGGCGACAGTCGTCGTTAGTCGGTGGATGGACTGGCCCGATCGGGCCCCACCTTGCCCAGGACACGATTGCGGCCAAGGTCGCCGAGGCCTGGAAGGCCCATCACGCCCCGCTCAATCGGCTAGGAAACGCGACGAGCTCTTGTGCGATGTTCGGGAGGCGGCCAGGTGCGCGCCCTCGCTTTCAGGTCGGGCCCAGGAGTTGTTATTCCAAGGCAATCTTCCTCGACCCCTCGGCCTGGATCGAGCGCAAGGCCCGACCCGCCCTCCTGCTACACGCATCGATTTAACTGGCCAGCTGAGGGCCTAATGATAAGCGACGGCACGCGTGTTCACACGGATGGAATTGGCGTTTGGGGGCTGGCTTCAATCCCAGGGAGTGGTGGGATAGGCGGCGGTCGTCACGGACGGAGAGGGAGCCGTCCTGTCGCACATCTCGGGGGTGGGACCAATTGCAGAGGCACTCCTTCAAACCGCGAGGGACGGCGAGGACTATGCGGTCCTCCAGCTGTGATTCAATGGTGCCCTCATCTCTGGGTCCAGCCTCCATGCAGACTAAGCATGGCACGGTTGATTGCGCTCGGGGATCCCAGGTCTACCGCTGGCCCCGATGATTCGCTAGCCCACTGGTGGGCGGGCCCAAGTGCACGACAAACTCGCTCGGCAATAGCGCGGTTGATATGCACGCGCGCCGCGGGGCAAAGCTGCATCGCAGTGATCTCGCCGATCGTCTCGTGCTGATCGGCTGCCATGAGATTGCTGGGCAGGTGGTTCGCTCCTCGGCTCGCCAGGAGACCATGGTCGCGAACGCTAATGTTTCGACCATGTCAAGCTAGGTTGGCCTCGCGACCGTGGCCCATTTGAATTGCCGCCTGATGTCCTCGGAGATGATGGGGGCGGTGACGGGGGGGGGGCGGGAGCGTCGTCCGTCGTCGGAGGAAAGCCCATGGCCGGCAGGGCGGCGCAGGATGCCGACGTCTCCCCGAAAGGGGCCGCGGCGGCAGCGGAGCGCGATTGGGCAAGTTCGGGCCCTTGTCCTGCCCAGTCGCCCCCACCGCCTCCCGGGGAAGAGGCGCGGGCCCTCCTCGGGCCCTGAAGGCCAGGAGCCATTCCTGCATCGAACCTCCAATGGCTTCTTCTGCTGAGGTCCCCAAGGGCCCCGTGGACTGTGGCATCGCTCGCGGGCCCCTCGGCCCTCCTGGGAGCTCACGGCGACGAAGTGCCCCCGCGTCGGATCGCCCAGGGCCCCGCGCCCCCGGGCCGCGAGAGGCGCTCGAATGGAAATATGATCGGCCAGCGCCCGCCCCGCAAGGGGGGTCGAGTCGGAGCGGCGGGCTCGCTCTCCGACGATTCTCGCGCCCCCCTGGCCTCGAAGCCGGGCCTCGGAGGCACGCCCGGGCTCGGGTCGGACCCTGCTGTCGAGCGGGTCGGCGCGGATCTCGCCCGCGATCTTCGGGGCCCCCTCTCGCGCCCAGGCTGAAACGCCCGGGCTGCGGGCTCTCAACGGGGAAAGGCGCGAGGAAGCTGATCCCTCAGATGATGAAATTGTCTGTCATTTTTGTTGTTTCGCATGCTCCGTGCGGCGGCATCTTCAGCTGCCCCCCCCCCCCCCCCCCCCCTCGCCCCCCCTCCCCCACTATCCCCCCCTGGGCAAGACCTTGCGCACTAAAGCAACTCCAATGATAATGCACACGTGGAAAACCTGCTCATAGCACACTCGCGTCAACACGACGAACGCGCGGCAGACGACGAGAGGGCACGCGCCTGCACTCACCACGACCGGGGCGATTCCCAGATCTTGGTGGCCCAGGCAGACCTCTTGGGCTTACAAGGGTGGCCAAGAGTGTCTATGCGATAAAAGCATTTGGCCCGGCACGACGCACAGCGCACAAGACAGACATCATGAGTGAGCACATACTGCATACACAAGCGCACGCGGCGCAAGACCGTCGTGCATGAAGCTGCGAGAGACCACAGTCGCACGCTCAGGCAAAGTGACTTGCCTGTCCTGCACCAGCTGGAGGGTAGGTTTGGAGAGGGCGGCCCCTCTGAACCTGCGGCGGGTGCAACGTGTCGTCACCCTCCCCAACACTTGCACGCCACTTGACCCACTGCTTCAAACACAGCTGCCGTCGGTGGATCAAGCCTCGCTGGGCCTCGAGCAGACGACCTGCTCGCGCTGCCCAGCGCGCGAAAGCGTCGGCTCCACAGCTCAACAGTTGCCAGCGTCGATCCTCGGAGCGGAACCACGCAGGCGGATATCTTGCGCAGTGGGATGAGACTTAACGCTGCCACAAAGCTGGGCGTAGTCACCATCTCCTCCGTCGCGGAAACACCTCCAGACCCCGCGCCTCAGACGAGCATGCGAAGGCGAAAACAGACACCCTGCCACGCAATAGCACTGCCTGTACCAATGGCACTGCAAGGCATAGGATGCCTGAGTACAAAACCAAACGCAGTCTGCTCAGCCTCATTAGTGGGCGGAAGGATGGCGAGCAGCGGACCGCGCACGATGGATCGCCCCCCTCGCGACGCACGACGATCAAGCGACCACGACGACAGAGCACGCGCAGACCATCCTGCAGCCGCAGACTCAGGCCAGTCGCCCTTAAAAAGCAATCCGTCTATGAAAATGCCCCATGCGAGGTCCTCAGGTGCCCCAAGACACCACGTGTCACGAGGCACTTTGAGAGCCTCAGGCTCATGGAGCTCAGGCACTGGAACAATACACCTGTCGGCAATAAAGCACGCAACAGGAGACCCCACGGAAGCGGCGGCAAGACCAAGCAGAAAAGAGGGCGGCGCTTTGCCTGCGTTACCTGCGTCAGCACACTCGCACGCAGTGCATCTATGCAGGAGTACGCCACAGACTTAAGGTTCACGCATCTGCACGCAGACTGAACATCATATCCCACAGCCCACTGACGACGCATCGGACATTGCCCCCCCGATAAAGCACGACCTCACATCAGCACGTTGCTGAGCGGGGGCCTCAGACAGAAGAAATTTAACGATGGGCTGAATTTACACGCCGCGCTCAAGCTCAGGGAAACTCAGACGATCAGCGACCTGCGTTGACTGCCATCTAACCCACATACAATGAAGAACCCGACAAACGACACCGATACACACCTCAGCGGGTATCAGAACTGAGCCGTCAGGCAGCGCCCATGCAGCCATCGACTGCACTGCAACCACAACGCGATATAGGGCAGCAGCAGCTGCAACAGAAGAGGTACCTGGAAAAGACCGCCACGGCGCAAAAAGCCCCTCTCCATGAGCAGTAGCAGCATTGA